TGTTCTCTTTTATTGATGAATAAAATTCCATTGTGTATATATGCCACATTTTTTTTATCCATTCATCCACTGAAGGGCATATAAGTTGGCTCCACAGTTTAGCTATTGTGAATTATGCTGCTATAAACATTGATGTGGCTGTGTCCCTGTAGTGTGCTGTTTTTAAGTCTATTGGGTATAGATGGAGGAGAGGGATAGCTAGGTCAAATGGTGGTTCCATTCCCAGATTTACAAGGAATCTTCATACTGCTTTCCATATTGGCTGTACCAATTTGCAGTCCCACCAGCAATGTATGAGTGTACCTTTTTTCCTACATCCTTGCCAACACTTATTGTTGTTTGTCTTCATAATAGCTGCCATTTTGACTGGAGTGAGATGATATCTTAGAGTAGTTTTGATTTGCATTTCTCTAATTGCTAGAGGTGATGACATATTCAACATATTTGTTGATTGATTAAAAATCCTCTTCTGAGAAGTATCTATTCAGGTCCTTGGCCCATTTGTTGATTGGGTTATTTGTTTTTTTGGTGCTTAGATTTTTGAGTTCTTTATATACCCTAGAGATTAGGGCTCTGTCTGATGTATGAGGGGTGAAAATTTGCTCCCAGGATGTAGGCTCTCTGTTCACCTTACAGATTGTTTCTTTTGCTGAGAAGAAACTTTTTAGTTTGATTCCATTCCGTTTGTTGAATCTTGGCTTTAATTCTTGCACTATAGGAGTCTTATTAAGAAATTTGGGCCTAAAAGTGAATTAGGTGGCATCACTATACCAGACCTTAAGCTATACTACAGAGCAATAGTAACAAAAACAGCATGGTATTGGCACCAAAACAGACTGGTAGACCAATGGTACAGAATAGAGGACACAGAGACTAACCCACAAAATTACAATTATCTTATATTAGACAAAGGTGCCAAAAACATGCATTGGAGAAAAGATAGCATCTTCAACAAATGGTGCTGGGAAAACTAGAAATCCATATGCAAAAAAATGAAATTAAACCCCTATCTCTCACCATGCACAAAACTCAACACAAAGTGGATCAAGGACCTATAAATTAAACCAGAGACTCTACATCTAATAGAAGAAAAAGTAGGCCCTAATCTCCATCATGTTGGATTAGGCCTCAACTTCCTTAATAAGACTCCTATAGCGCAAGAAATAAAATCAAAGAGTTTTGTAAATACTTGCTCTGAATAGTAGGAAGAGTCTCCATGTTTGAAACATTTGGTGGGTATTTTGTTTTTGTCTCATGTTTGTTGCTTTCCATAGCTTGGCACAAGCCAAGCAGGTACTCTACCACTGAGATACACTCTGGACTGCCAAATACACTTTAAAGATGATATTTTAAAAATCTGTTGGATTTTTAATCATGGAAAAACATCAGAATATTATTGTATTTCATTTCTTTCATTTGTTTTACATTGGATCTAGTTTGGTTTTAAATATAATCAATGTAGAAAAACTGTAGCTTTCTCTGCAGTGGGTGTTGTAGAGTCTTGGTCCTCCTCTGGGGTCTTAAGTGGACAGCAGAGCCCAATCCTAGGGGAAGGCAGAAGAGAGCAGAGCCTGCAGTCCCCTCAGTTCTGCATCTCTTGCTCTTTCCTGCTTTGTCCTTGCTTCTTCTTCCTATATTCATGTTATTTTCCCCAATCCTCACCCCTTTTTCTTTCTTTCTTCAACACATGATCCACGTTCCACCACCATTTGCTTTTCTTCACTCTCCATTTCATCCTTTATGGTTTGGAATCTGGAGCCAAAGGCACTTCACTGCATCCACTTGAGACAGACCTGATAAAGCAGGGCTCCTCACCCAGCTTGTATAAGTGGTGGGCGCTGGGTGGCCTCACTGCAACATGATTGTTGATTTTTATTCCAGATCTGGCAGGTTTCAATTAGGACCATCCTGAGGTAGGCACTTACATTCTTGGTGGGCCACCAAGCAGAGGAGTGTTTCTGATCCTAGAACCCAAGATGCCCCCCCACCTGCTCTCCCTGTGGAAGTGGGGGATGGGATGGAAAAAGCATTTCAGTACCCAACCGCATCAAAATACAGGCAATGTTGGCTGAAGTATGCTGGGTTTCAGATCTTGATTAACACTTCAGAACGTCCTTCCGCCAGCCACTGGGTCTGCATTCTCACAGCTCGCAGGTGTATCTGCCTAGCAGTCTGAGAACCCCAAACCCAAATGCAGCTTGCCTTCCTCCAGACTCCCATAAGCACCTTCAATCTGCTTGTACATCAATCAACAGGTTTTATTTTAGTTAAGCCAGTGTGGGTAACAGGTGATCTTCAGTCCTTCTGGGTAAATGTGGCCACAAAGACCTGAAATAGTGCGTGAGACCCGCCCTGGGTTTAAAGGACACCACTGAGTGATTTCTGTTGCTTTTCAGGACTCAGCAGTGAATCCTAAGGTGGGTGAGGAGTAAGTCGCTCCCGTTCTTATGAATTCAGAGATGCAAAGAAGAGAGGGGGAGAGAAGCAGTAGTTCATTGGGCAGAGCAGAAGAGTCTGAAGGGGGAGGGACAAGGTAGCAGTATCTTGCACAGATGAGAATCTGGGAGGCTTGCTGGGGGAGGGGCAGCCAGGCTTTGATCCTGGGCACTGCCCAACATCTGGAGCCCAAGACCTTCAGGGCCTCCTCTGAGGCTTCTTCTCCCTTGAGCCATATGTAAATGCTCTGGAATAATCCTAGCATGTAATTATTAAGGTAAGAAAAGTCTTTGAATATGGGTGGAATGAGATAGTTTGTTGGAGCTGTCACTCCAAGTGAGTCCTCAAAGATGCATAGAAAACATAGAGATTGAAAGGGCTTGGGATCAGCTCACAATAACTGTGACCCAGCACTTACTGGAGGCTTATATTAGTCAATGTTTTCCAGAGAAACAGAATCAACCAGAAGCAAGTGGGGGTCAATAAGAGGGGATTTATTATGAGGACTTGTTTACTTGATTATGGAGGCAGAGGTGTCCACTTTATGCCACCTATCAGCTGATGAACCAGGAAAGCGAGGGATCTCCAACTTAACATCATCCCCGCCCCTGTAACTAATGAAAATAAACTCAGAATGGGACTGGACGCCAGTGCCTTCTGTGCTTTAAAAAAAAAAAAAAATCTCAATCAAATACTTACTACAAATGAAAATAAGTCTAAGAAATTGTCAAAACTTTGTTGGTGCATGACATTTCCACTCACAGAAAAAGCACAAGCTAGAGCCTTAGGCAATAGTAAGAATAGCTATAGTTCGTTTTTTAGAAAACATTTTTTAGAGGTGACAAAGTGAAATGAATATAGTTTTTTATGCTGGAGTGGTGACACTTGGAAGACCTGTCCTGGTCAAGTGTAGGCTGAAGATCTGCATTCATGTTCAAGGCGTCTATTTTCATTGGGTGAGTGGATGTGGGAGGGGCCAGGAGAACTATATATGATCTGCCTTCGGGGAACCCTCTTAGAGGTCCATCCTGCTCACCAGATAAGAGGATGTCAAGTTTGGTCTCTATTGGGCTGTGTCGCGTCCTGCTGCTCCTGGCCACAACTGCCTTTTGGGCACCCCTGTGTGCTGCCGCTGGTGAGTGAGCTCTATGTGGTTCCTGGAGGTGCAGGAGCTGCCCGGCTACTGCAGGGAGGCGGGCGGGTTTCTGTGAGAGTCCGAGGGAACCCTCCCGGTTAAGATGAGCGGTCTGGTTTGGTGGGGAGAGGAGCTGGACCTGACGCGGGTCATTGCCACCACATGCAGTTTCGCTTTCTAAGCACCTTGCCACCCCTACGTCCTGCGTCCTAAATCCATGCTTACTTGCCCCAGCCCTGCGCCTTGCTCTTCCCTTTTGGACATCCCGGTCCTCTGTCGCCTCTGGATTCCCGAGGTGCATGCTGAGTTTCTCCTTTGAAAAACATTGAAGGACCCTTTGAGGTCCGCGGCTCACGGAACCTCTTCCCAACAGTATTACGGACAGTTCGGGCTCCTGAAGCCCCTGCTTTCCTCGCAGTCATAGGCTTGTTTTCAGCTGAGCTCACAGGAGTCCCCAGTTAGGAGACCTTTTTTCTTCTGGCCCTGAGCTAGTAGGGACGTCCCAGCCCCATAGAGCCCTTCCTGCCTCTGTGAGGACTGTGGCTGCATCAAACACTCAGACTGAGGGAAGTGAACAGCTAAGATTGCTGAGTCAAGATCTTCTTGCTGGGGCTTTTTTAATTTCCACCCACATTGTCCCCTGGACTCCTGCGCCCTGGGATGCTGTCCCCCCTTGTACTCCTCTCACCCTAATATGCTATCTATTTTCTAATATGCCTGTGTTTTCACCAGATCTCTATGCCTCCTTCCCTGTCACCCAACATGTCTCCTCAGCCTGTTGGCTTCCCCTCACCTCCCCCACTCCTGCTGTGTTTTCAGACCCATTTCTAAGGTAGACACTGCATCCTAGGTCTGTGCTTCCTGCACACTAGATACCCTGTCTCCCCAACCCCAGTCCTTTCCTCCTATTCTTAGGGGCCATTTCCTACAAGAAGTTTTATCCACTGCTGCCTCTCTACCTCACCCAAACTTTCCAGAGCCCCAACTTTTTTTTTTTTTTAATGATGTTTAGTTCGATTTCCTCTCCAAAAATTTTTCTGTTGACAAATAGTTGAATCTATTTCTGGGATGTAATGTTATGGATGCATTTTAGAATAATCAATTTGGGGTAATTAGCATATCCATCACCTCAAATATTTATGGTTTCCTTTTGGTCAGAACATTTAAAATCTTTTCTTCTTGTTATTTTAAAATATACAGCATTAAGTGGAGAAGCTTTGTTGTGCTATAGAACACCAGACTCTTCCTCTTATCCAAATGAAACTTTGTGGCCTTTTACCAGTGTCTCTCCTTTCTCTGTCCATTCATTTGTCTCTGTATGCCTGTTTTTTTTTTTTTTTTTTTTTTTTTTTTTTTCTCTTATGGGCCTCTACTTTCCACCCACATTGTCACAAATGACAAATTTCCCTAGCTTTTTTTTTTTTTTTTAAGAAGTTTCTGGTGATAAAATCTGAGGCCTTGTGACTGCTAGGCAAGTCCTCTATCCCTAAGCTACATTTTCATCCTTAATTTCCTTTTGTTAAAAAGGCTAATTGATATTCTTTTGTGTGTATATCCCATAATGATTTGGTTTGGTTTGGTTTGGTTTTTGGCGAGGGGGTTCTTTTTGAGGGTGGGCTGCTGTTTTTCCCAGGGTGGCCTCCAACTCCAGGCTCAAGCAATCCTCTTGTGTCAGCTTTCTGAGTAGCTGGGATTTTAGGTGTGCACCAGGTGGCTTAAGACAGTTTTTAAATCCACTCATCTATTTGTGGACACTTAGGTTGCTGCTATATCTTGACTGTTGTGACTGATGCTGCAGTGGACACACAGTGCAGGGAATCCAGGGAATCTGGATTCCCATTCCTTTGGTGTGAATGAGGTAGTGGGATTGCTGGATAAAGCAAAAATTTTAGTTTTGGGAGGAACCTCCATGCTATTCTCCAAAATAACTCTACTAAATTGCAACACCAGTGGTGCACACCCCTTTTTCTACCTCCTTCCCAACACTCTTTGTGTCTTCACAATGACCAATCTAATAAGTGTGAAAAAATAGTTCCTTTTGGTTTTAATTGGCATTTGCATTCATTCACATATCTGTTGGCCAATTATGTATCATATTTTGACAGATGTCTCTTCAACGTCTTTACCCATGTTAAATATAAGGTTATTTGTATATTTTGTGTATTAAACCATTATCTGACCTATGATTGTTTTCTTCCAGTCCAGGGGTTGTCTCTTCACTCTATAAATTGTCTTCTCTGCTAGGCAGGAATATTTTAGGTTGATGTTATTCCAATGGTCTATTTTTGCTTTTAGTTATGTCACCAGGAGGCCAAAACTATGTTTTGCATGTTCTTGAGCTCTTGATTCCAGGAAGAAAAAAATCATCCCTGGTATCTTCTTCCTCAGGGTCCCACAGTTTTCGTTATAACCTAAAAATGAGATCCCAGAACCATTTAGTGCACGACAGTTCTTTTCTGAGGGTCTTTTGGATGATAAGCCCTTCCTGCACTATGACAGTGGACACACAGTGCAGGGAATCCAGGGAATTTGGATTCCCATTCCTTTGGTGTGAATGAGGTAGTGGGATTGTGAATGAGGCACTGTGGGCAAAGACAATCCTGAGAGCCGAGACCTGGAACACAGAGACCCAAGACTTGGCAGGGAGTGGGAAAAACCTCAGAATGACTCTGGCAGATATTATCAGTCTGCAGAGGCAGAAAGAAGGTGAGTGTAGGTGGGGGCAAGGGTCTTTCTGCAGAAAGGCTGGGGGCAGAGAGCAGGGACCTCTCTTCTCACTGCATTTGTCTGGGAAGGGCAAGCATGGGGTCCATAGAGCTCAGCACAGGGACATTGAAGAGAGAGAGAGCCATGCTGGAATCCTCTGTGGGCTGGAGTTTCTCTTGGTGGGAAGGGAGGCAGAGGCACCAGGGGATGCTAAAGTGACTGGTGGATGGGGGCAGGGTCTCATTCCCTCCAGGAGTCTTGGGGCTGTGAGATGCAAAAGAACAACCGCACCAGGGGCTTCTGGGATTTCTACTATGATTAGGAGCCCTTCCTCTCCTTTCACCCTGTGACTCACAGCTGGACAGTGCACCCTTCCTCGGCTCAGACTTTGGCTATGGAAGTCAAGAAGCACTGGAAATCAGATGATAGTCCAAGCAAGGCTCAATGGGCCCATGTGCAAGGAACAATTGGTGGAAGACTCCAGAGATATCTGAACTCCTGGATAGCCTTCAATAAGACAATAGGTACCCCAGCCCCCATTCCCCTAGAGCCTCAATATAAGGGGCCTTCTCTGTACTATGGGATGCGTGTGTTCTCTGTGAGGGTGATGTATTCTGATTTCCCCATCCTTTTAAACCACTGCATAAAGACAGGAGGGTTTGGCAATCTATGACTGTCTGGGCCACAACCAGGAAGTACCCTGAGCCTCAGGCAACTGGGGTTAGGCAGGAGTTGAGACCTCTTCTTCCCACCTGCCTGCCAACCTGCTTATCATGCAGAGCTCCCTTGTGGCCTCACAAACAAGGAATCCCCATAACACCCCCTCCTCACATCAACATGTGTAAGTGAGAATGTGAGGCCACAAACCCGAGGCTCATCCTCCTGCCAGTCAGAGGACTGAGGCCCTCGGCTGAGAGCAGATTTGCAGCAGTCTAGTGTCAGTGAGGACTTTGGTCAGAGACACTACAGCAGAAAGAACCAGCCCTGTTCCCTCTGCCTCCATTAAGGGGAGTAAGGCTGGATCACATGGCTGACTGGTTCTGCTTTTTCTTCTCTAGTGTCCCCAGTAGTGACTGTTATCTGCGGTGAGGCCTTGGAGGACACCATCAACGCCACATGTTGGGCTTTTGGGTTCTATCCCTGGATTATCTCTCTGACTTGGCTTCAGGATGGGGAACCCCTGAACCAGGACACACAGCAATCTGGGAGTCTTTTACCATATGGGAATGGGACCTACCAGACCTGCGTGTCCACCAGGATTCCTCAAGGACAGGAGCAGAGATTTACCTGCCATGTGCGACATAGTGGGAAAGAGAGCACTGGCACTGTGCCCTGTGGTGAGCCTGGGTGTCCCAGCAGGGGTTCCCAACTGGGTAGGTCAGTGACCAGGGTGGTGAGAGGGAGGAAGTCTAGAAGCTCGGGAACCCAGATGGTAACATGTGTGTTTTAGGGGCCGACCCTGCTGCTTCAAAGCCGATGGCGAGCCTCTCTAGGTGTGGTTGCTGCTGTTGATGCTGTTCTTCTTCTTCTTCTCCTTTATGTGCTTTGGAGCAACAGGAGGGAGACAATTTCAGCCGCAGAGGGTTCAGGTAAGAAAAGTGGGCAGTGGATGGAGATGGCAGGGTCATTCTGGGTTGTAGGGTCCCTCATGCCTCATGCTGCACAGAGTGCAGTGGAGGTGACCAGACTTCTGGAACAGGGATAGATGTGTCTTTTTTTGTGAGGGGCCGGCAGCCAGGTCTCCAGGTACTCCCCTTAGTCCTGCCAAAAGCCAAGGGCCGTGAACATCCTCAAAGGCCCAGCTGCACCATATTCTTGTCACAGGGTTAGGGGTGAGCTTCAGTGTGGTTTTCTCCTGCTCTGTCCCTGTCCTCATCTCTCTCTGTATCAAGCTTTTAGGTCTTGACCAGGAGTTGGGAATGGTGGGCTGATTTGCATGGGCTAGATTATCACGGTATCAGGCGGACAAAGTATAAAAGGATCTGTGATTTGTGTTCTTTAGAAACTCTAGAGAAATCCCACAAAGGCTGTTGCCTCTGGTTTCTTCCTGTCTGCCTGCCTCTTTCCTGTCTTTCCACCTGTCCTGTGCAAACCAATAAGAAGAATCTTGAGGCCTGTGGCACCAGTGCCCTGGGAGGCCCATGTAGAGCAGGCCCAGGGGTCTTCAGCACATGTAGTTATCTTCTATCTTATCAGCATCTCCAGTCACTCCTCAGGGATGTCTCCTGTGTGTGTCCACTGGGTCACTAGGGCATGTACTCCATCCCAGGCCCCACCACAATGGTCGTCCATCAGGAGTGGCTTCACAGATGTTATGGAAAAATGAAAAAGCAGATGCCTCCGACCATCTGGGGAGAGAGACCAGCCACTGTGGGCAGCTGTAGTCCGTTTTTGTTCTACCTGGTGTTAGAGTTTCCATGTGGAATATCTCCCAAAGGCTCATGAGTTGCAGGCTTGGCCCCAGGTGTTGGTCCTACTGGAAGGTGTGCAAGCTTTAGCAGGTGGGCCTAGTTGGAAGAGGCATTCCTTGAAGGGAACATCTTGTCCCAGGTTCCTGGCTCTCTCTTTCTCTGCTTCCTGGCCACCACATGACCACCATGAGGTGAGAAGTATCACTCTGTCATGTGCTGGCCATCATTATTTTCTGCCTTTCTAGCCCACAGGAATGGGGCCAAGGGACCCTGGGATGAAACTGGCGAAACTTGAGCCAGTGTAAATTTTTCCTCCCGAGTGTTTTACTTTAGGTGTTTTGTCAAAGTAGTGAAAGCTGACTGTGACACTTAGGGTTTCCTTCCAGCCCCAGAGGGCACGCTCCCCAAGGACTGTGTGTGTTGGTGTGTTGAGTCTGTGCTCTATGGCCTCTGCTCACCCTGCCCTCCCTTGGCTATTCCCCTTTATAAGATGGTCATTCCCCTGTGCATTTGGAGTAAGGGATGGTCAAAACCATTCCCCTGTCACCAATCAGGTTGCTGGAGGGTCAGGAAAAGAGAAAACAGGAAGTTGGTGTTTCAGCAGGAAACAAAGTTAGTTAGTTACTGGTTTGGAGGATCTTTCTGTTGTTTCTGCCCCTTCTGTGGGGTCAGCAGTGGGGGTAGTGAGTGTTTGGCCCCTTGGGTCTGGGAAACCTGCCCCCCAGCAGGAGCTGTCCAGGTAACTCTCCCTCCAGGGCAGATGGTTCAGTGCTCTCTGCTGCTCTCACCTGCAGCCTCTGCTGTAGGGTGAAAGCTAGTTCTGGTTCTCTGTGGGGAAAAATAGTTGCCTACTGCCACCCCTGTCCAGCACAGGCGGTGAACTAAGGTCACTCGTGTGAATTTGGGGTGACGCAAAATAAAGCACAGACACGAAATACCTTTACACAAGCTTCAGGACAACTTTCCCCAGCTCCCAGTCTCAAGCTCCCCAAAAGGAGAGCAAGAGAAAGTCACAGAGGCTGGCGAGAGAGAGGACAAGCACATTCAGAAGTGGGCTTTTATTTGGGGGGATGCTGTTTTTGAGAAAGTTCTATCCAAAAAAGGCAGAAGGCAGCAGGTGAGTATAACTCAATCCCAGCGGTACACCTACACCTGAAGCCATGCCTTGCTATCTCAGCTGGGACAATATGAAAGTCACTAAGAAATGTAGTAATTGGTCAGAGCCCCCTGTGTCAGGACTTGAAGGTGTGTTCATTCAGAGTGGCTCCCCACAGCCTGCAATTTCACTGGAACATTTGTAGAAAAGAGTGGAGATCAGATGTTCATATTTCCAAATTTCTTCTCTAAATGTTCATACCCAATAAAAATATTTCCATTTTCAGCTCATCTTTTTTCCCTTCTTCTTCTTTTAGAAGTAGTGAGGATTTACCCAGGGGTGCTCTACCACTGAGCTACACCTCCAAGGTTGTGGCCTGTGTGAGTCCCTGCTACGGATGGGGGGAAAAAGGTGAGGCAGTCTCAGGAAGCAGAACCCCTTGGAGAGTAGCTGATTTCCTGGGGCAGATGGGCCAGGTAGGCCCTAGGAGGGTAAAGTACAGATTAGGGACCTGAGTAAGTGTTGGGGGTCAGGGATTCTGCTGTGTGTGGGCTGCTTCAGGTCAGGTGAGCAGCAGACCAGAGGGCAGGCATGTTTTCCTGGCTGGGCCTGCTGGTGCCCCTGGGCTTCCTGGTAGGCTTTCCAGTTAGGAGCTTCTGGCTCAGGGCTGAGAGGAAAGGATGCTGAGCTGCAGCTGGAGCAGACCCTGCTGGGTGAGCACCTGCCCCTGCAGCAGAGGAGGCCTTGGATATTAAAGGGGTAAAGGCCTATGTGTGAACCCTGTGCCCAGGATTGGCAGGAGCAGGAACTTTCTTCTATGGCAGGTCCCTATTCTGTCAGGAATGGTTGGGCAGAGGAGAGGCACTGGGCTTCACTTTGGGATCTTGTCTCTTACTTCTTTGGTCTTTCATTCCCTTGAGTGATGCATGGTGGAAACTGAGGCAGGTGAGGCTGCTGGTAGATTTAGGAGAGGAGGCTGGTGAGGAAAACTAGTGAGGGCATTTTCTTCTCTCACTCAAACTCTGAATCTGATTTTGGAGAGTCTGAGAAAGGAGAGGTCCTGAGGAATAAATGTCATATTCTGCAGTCATTTGAACACTGACTTTTATCTTCTCCCTTAGCTCAGGAGCTCACAAGTCCTGAATCATCAGCAGATGGTGAAGAGGAACCATAACAGCACCTTGCAGCTTGTGTCAAGCTTCCAGGATGATGCTGTGGAGCACATCTGCCCTGAAGAGTTGGAGCCCTAGTGTGATGAACTGGAGGATCACATTGATGGACAGGACAGGGTTGGAACTTTGAGGTGTCCTTATGCTGAGCAATAGGGGTCAGTTGGCCTGGGGGAAAAAAAATGACTGGCAGGTGCTTATGGACTAAGATGTTGAGAGTAAGCGACCCAGAATGTGTGTGAATCAGACACCAGCATTGGCCACCTTTGGTCCAGCTGAAGCATGCAGAGTGGTGGGGAAGAAGACACTCCATTTTGAAGAATATGACTTTTTATCCCTAGGGACATTTCTCTTCTCAGAGTCTCCAAAATCAGATTCAGAGTCTCTGTGAGAGAAGA